ATGCCAATGCAGCGACCAATACCAATGCCAATGCAGATGCCTCTAAGATCTATATGTCAAATGTCAAACAAAGTGAATATTTCAAAACATATGACATTGTCATAATAATGTATGTCCATTCCAAATGTACAATGTAAATGACTTACAGTGAGGGAAAAAAGTATTTGATCCCCTGCTGATTTTGTACGTTTGCCCACTGACAAAGAAATGATCAGTCTATAATTTTAATGGTAGGTTTATTTGAACAGTGAGAGACAGAATAACAACAACAAAATCCAGAAAAACGCATGTCAAAATTGTTATAAATTGATTTGCATTTTAATGAGGGAAATAAGTATTTGACCCCCTCTCAATCAGAAAAATGTCTGGCTCCCAGGTGTCTTTTATACAGGTAACGAGCTGAGATTAGGAGCACACTCTAAAAGGGAGTGCTCCTAATCTCAGCTTGTTACCTGTATAAAAGACACCTGTCCACAGAACCAATCAATCAATCAGATTCCAAACTCTCCACCATGGCCAAGACCAAAGAGCTCTCCAAGAATGTCAGGGACAAGATTGTAGACCTACACACGGCTGGAATGGGCTACAAGACCATCGTCAAGCAGCTTGGTGAGAAGGTGACAACAGTTGGTGCGATTATTCGCAAATGGAAGAAACACAAAAGAACAGTGAATCTCCCTCGGCCTGGGGCTCCATGCAAGATCTCACCTCATGGAGTTGCAATGATCATGAGAACGGTGAGGAATCAGCACAGAACTACACAGGAGGATCTTGTCAATGATCTCAAGGCAGCTGGGACCATAGTCACCAAGAAAACAATTGGTAACACACTACGCCGTGAAGGACTGAAATCCTGCAGCGCCCGCAAGGTCCCCCTGCTCAAGAAAGCACATATACAAGCCCTTCTGAAGTTTGTCAATGAACATCTGAATGATTCAGAGGAGAACTGGGAGAAAGTGTTGTGGTCAGACGAGACCAAAATCGAGCTCTTTGGCATCAACTCAACTCGCCGTGTTTGGAGGAGGAGGAATGCTGCCTATGACCCCAAGAACACCATCCCCACCGTCAAACATGGAGGTGAAAACATTATGCTTTGGGGGTGTTTTTCTGCTAAGGGGACAGGACAACTTCACCGCATCAAAGGGACGATGGACGGGGCCATGTACCGTCAAATCTTGGGTGAGAACCTCCTTCCCTCAGCCAGGGCATTGAAAATGGGTCGTGGATGGGTATTCCAGCATGACAATGACTCAAAACACACGGCCAAGGCAACAAAGGAGTGGCTCAAGAAGAAGCACATTAAGGTCCTGGAGTGGCCTAGCCAGTCTCCAGACCTTAATCCCATAGAAAATCTGTGGAGGGAGCTGAAGGTTCGAGTTGCCAAACGTCAGGCTCGAAACCTTAATGACTTGGAGAAGATCTGCAAAGAGGAGTGGGACAAAATCCCTCCTGAGATGTGTGCAAACCTGGTGCCCAACTACAAGAAACGTCTGACCTCTGTGATTGCCAACAAGGGTTTTGCCACCAAGTACTAAGTCATGTTTTGCAGAGGGGTCAAATACTTATTTCCCTCATTAAAATGCAAATCAATTGTAAGTCGCTCTGGATAAGAGCGTCTGCTAAATGACTAAAATGTAAATGTAAATTGATAACATTTTTGACATGCGTTTTTCTGGATTTTTTTGTTGTTATTCTGTCTCTCACTGTTCAAATAAACCTACCATTAAAATGATAGACTGATCATGTCTTTGTCAGTGGGCAAACGTACAAAATCAGCAGGGCATCAAATACTTTTTTCCCTCACTGTATGTAAGTAGCCAACTGCCATCCGAGAGGTTTTCTCTGGCTATGACAAGTTTTATCTTACCGGAGGATTGCAGAGAGCTGCTGGCGTTTGTAGAACACACTTGTCCAACACTGCAGGTCTCCAGGGTTTGTTCTAAGCATTTGGACTCTGCTGGAACTCAAACAACCCAAACAGACCTGGGTTCAAATACATGGGATCATTTACATGTTTGTATTTAAACTGGCTGACAGACAAAATACGAAATACTACCTAAGACTGAAACAAATAACGAAACAGGGAGAACACTTCTCAAGTACCTGTACATAGATCTCCGATCAGACACTGAGTAGTGATTAAAAGTTTTTATTCAAATATCCACACCATACATCAGGGTTCTTCAATTCCGGTCCTGGAGGGCCGAAACACCTCTGTTTTTCATCCTCTCCTTCTAATCAGGGGCTAATTCAGACCTGGGACACGGTGAGTGCAATTTAACTACCAGGTAGAAATAAAAAACAGAAGTGTTTCGGCCCTCCAGGACCGGAATTGAAGAACCCTGCCATACATCATCATACACATTACACACACCATTAATTCCCAACCCCAACATCACTAAAAATAACAATACAAAACTACCCAACACAATATACTGTATATCAAACACCCACAAAACCAAACAATAACAGAAATTACACCCCAGGGGAGCACCTTCCCTCCCCTTTATACCCAGCTAAAAACACACACACAAATCCTAATCCCTACCCCTCTACACTAACCCTAACCCTAAACCCCCCTTCCACCTCTCCCGAGCAGCATGCTGCCCCCACTTCCTCTCCTATCTCTTCATTCTCCCCCTCAAATTCTGCTCCACCCTCCTCACTATCCCCTCCACACCCCCTTCTCTCCCTGTCCTTTCCATTTTCTGCCTAGCTTCCCACAACCCCTGTTTAAAGAGGCTTATGAGAAGCCAGAGCAGAAACCTGTCCCTAACCGCCCCCCTCGCTATCCCTACACCTCTCTCTACCCTAGCCCACGTCACAACAAAATCCCCCCTTAACCTGCCTATCAACACCTGTGCCCTAGCCCATACCATCCCGGCGAAAACACAGCCCAAAAAAACATGACGCAATGTCTCCTCCCCGCCACAAGTTGGTCTTGGGCAGGTGGGGGATCGTGTCATACCATGCCCGTACATGATGGAACGCACGGGCAAGCATTTATGGAGGCTCAACCAATTCAGGTCCTTGAGCCCGATGTCCAGACCACGCACCTGCACTCCTTCCCAGACCCCAGCCGGGATACCCACTACGGGCCCTGGACACCCTCCCTGTCTCACCTCCTTGTACAGGTGCCTGTGATCTAAACCTACTCTGCAACTTCAACCTCGGGGTGTGCACGCAGCCACTTGGCCGCATAGCCAAAGTGCCACGGCAGCTGTTCCGCGCGAGGACCCGTGTTAGACCACACCATTACACTTCTCGCCTGGTAAGAGAAGAAAAACCCCAGGGAAAATAACCGACGGGGGTATCAACGGGTGA